AAAAAAAAAACAGGCTGAGAATGTAGCTGATTATAAAAGCCCTGGGTACAATGTCCAGTACTGGTTGAAAAACTGTATTGCTAACCCTTCCATAGGATGTATTCCCACATCCAAGTTGTAAATCCTGGGTAGCACCAGTTAATCAGTGTCTTAAAAAAACAACTATTTTGTGCCCCCTGTCTTCCAACATTGTGCTGTGTACTGTACTGGGAGTGAGGGAGAGAAATAAGGAGGGGCTGGTATTGAAGGCCTCACACTGGGGTTCTAGCTTTATTTCCCACAATCCCCAGCTGGACTCTGCCCCGGACATCTTGGCAAACCTGCTGTCCTGTGTATACATCCTTTGTGTTGCTCCCTTTGGCGCGCCTGTCTCCCTGCCAAGATGCCTTTCTCCCATCTCTGCCAACACAACTCTAGCCCATCCTTCAGGCCTTGCCCCAAGCTCTGACTTTTCTGTGGAAGTTTTTCCAGCCAATGCAGTGTGTTCTAGACAGGCATACTGGCTCCCCAGTGCAGCTGTAAACTCCTAAAGGCAGAGAGCATTACTTATGCTTCCTGATTTTCTCCAAAAACCAGGATTTGCTTGTGGGTTGATTGATTGCTACCCTCTGTCCCCGCAACCCTAAGCCACACAGTCCTTCTTTGGGAACTTGAACTTTGAACCAGCTCTGGGTCCTTCCAAATTTGGAGGTAACAGGTTTGCTCACTTCACTCAGTAGACACTTACTAAATGAAGCCCAATAAGTCGATTCCTTTTGTTCATTGTGGAACCCAACGTGAATTAGATGAGGTGTGTACCTTGCAGGAGCTTGTGGGCTCAAAAAAGGCACAGACGTTTTCGTGGCAAGTCAGCATGCTGAGTACAACAATAATAATAATACAAATGTGGGAGTATAAACTAAGGTCATGGTGAGGACAAGCAGGGGTCAAGGCAGGCTTCCCGGAAGATGATCCTGTCCCTGCCAATCCTTCTGCACACAGAGAACGTGTCATCTGAGCAGACATGGCAGGGCTGTGGGGTCTGGAGCACTGGAGACTCTGGGAGGTGGATTCCTGGTTCACAGGGAGGAAGGGCTTAATACCAGAGGCTTATGGCAGATGCTGTGAGCGGATGAGGCGGGAGCTTTGCATCCTTCTCTCCTCAGACACACTGCACACACGCGCGCACACACACACACACATGCACACACACACACACACACACACATGCGTACACATACAGCCTGTGGGAATCCCACTTCCCTGCTTTTCCATCATCCCCACACACCCCTTCTTCCTTCTCGCCTCAGCTCATTCCTTCTCTCCTCCTCTGCTGTCACCTCCTGGTCCTGGGGCCATCCATTGTTGCCTCATTGGAACAGCCCTGTGTCTGCTCCCATTAGCTGGAGGCTGGTTCCCTGGATGCCCATTCCCTGCGGGGGTCTCTCAGGAAGAAGGTCAGCCTTGACTCAGGGCTTTCTCTTATCTTCCCACAGAAAACCAAAAGAGACGTCAATAACTTTGACCAAGACTTTACCCGGGAAGAGCCAGTACTCACGCTTGTGGACGAAGCAATTGTGAAGCAGATCAACCAGGAGGAATTCAAAGGTTTCTCCTACTTTGGTGAAGACCTGATGCCCTGAGAAGCCACTTGGGCTGGGCTTGCCACTGCTGCAGGGAGGGCGCTGAGAAGACCCCACGTTCCAAAGGCTCAGAAGGTCCAGAACTACTCCTCTTCCCAGAGCCCTGTCCCATGCCGTTCTCTATTTATTGCATTCCCTTCCCCAACACCACCTCCTCTCCCATCTCCTGGTGACCAAAAGGCACTCTTGGGTCTTGCCTCACTGGGAGTACATACTGGAGTTAAGTCAGCAGCCGGGTGTCTACACTGCCTTGTTTGGACTGTGGCAAGCCTGGTTCCACTCCACGGGGGCTCCTAGCTGTGAAGCAGCTTCAGTTGTTTCACCACAAAGAAAAAAGGAAAACATCAAACAAGAGGACTCTGGCTTTGCCATTGGATGCAGAATCCTGACACCTCTGCTTCTTGTGCTTCTGTTCCCCGGCCTGCCATCCCTGCCCTTCTGCCCAGAAGAGGAGACTACCACTTCCTCCACATGAGGGCAGGTGCCCTTGATGGAGGGGACCCAGGAGACACATGGGCGGCAAGCTGCGTAGTTTGCTCTGGAATGGCACATTCCGGCTTGCTTTGGTGTCCGATTTTGAGCATGCCAAAGTCTTACAAGTTTGTATCTCATGGAAGAAATCACTTTTGTGGAAAAAAATAATTTTGATTTTTGAACTTCATTAACATTTGAAAAATGTATTATTAAAATTAGCTTTCTGATTGGCCAAAAGATAGAAATTCCAGTATGAATACAGGTGGATATTAAAGGGCTAATATACAATGAGAATCCAGTTGTCCAAGGTTTGTGCAGTCGATGCTTTAGTGACACATGAGAGCTGGTTGAATTGAAAGAAAAGGAAACAAGTAGTGTTCCTCATTATTATAGCTCTGTCTGAATACAGAGGCCACCATGGCGATGGCCAGGACCCTAGGGTTCTAGCAAAACTCAGTTCCCAGGGTCGTCCTGAGTTCCTAGCATAAATGCTACTTATTTTTTGCAGCAGTGTGCTATTTTGTGCCCTTCTAAAAAATGGTAGTACTACTGTGTTGTGATTTGTAAACCTTAAACATTTAAAGTTAACTATGAACTGTCCATTTTTGGAACAAGTGGAATGAGGCTCACCATGCATTGGGGAGAGGGTGTCAGGAGACCAAAGGGACAGGTGTGCAAACTGACAGTGTGGCCGGGTATACTTGGAGCTTTGTTTCCGTGTGACACGCAGTGGCAACTCATGTGGACACTACTTATGGACGAGATGTTACCTCCTGTAGATACGCTAACAGTGTTACGTTCTTTGATTTCCAAGGTTTCTCTGTGGCTTTGTGTATATGTTTCCCGGAGGTCATTTGATTACCTATTTTGCTGAACTGATTTATCAGGGAATGGAATCCATTCTAACTGTTGCACGTGGATTTCCCAGCTGTTCCCAAATATATATACTTGTGAGTGGCAAACTGGCACTAATGAAGCTTTTTGCCTTTTGTACATTTGAGATTTTTGTATATAGTGTTTGCTGCAAGGCCTGTGGAATTAATTCATTGAATATAGAGGTATCAACTGCTGCATGTTCAGGCATATTATAGAACTTTAGTCTACGAAAGAATAATTATAATAATGTCCAGGTGCAATACTCTATAAGCGTATTGGTTCAAGTTACCGAGAGATAGGTGAATTCTTTTTAGGGGGAGGGCTTATATTGTTTATTTCATTTTGTTTTATTTTAAAAGATGTAAACATACGTGTATTAAGCTATATTAAATTTCATGTATAGTTCGCCTGTGCTCTTTTATTCCCTGATTGAGATGGGGGACAGAAAGGAATGTTGTCCATTGTGGTTTTAAAGCCTGGACAGTGACTATTTCGAGCCCACAGAGTGTGTCCCTATTTGCATCTGGCTGATCACAGCCTTTGTTACTAACGATGACATTCAGTTCTCTTTTGTTTTTATTTTTTAAAAACTCAGGTGTAATTATCTGTTCTTACGATTGCAAATATTAAATATTATGCTATATCAATCCATGTGTTTGGCATACCAGTGAAGTGCAGAAGAATATTGGATTAATTTAATTTATGTTCGGTAACTTGACTTACCAGGGGCAGACTATCTTCTGGAGCAGAGTACAAGCACAGAAACATCTTCACGGTGGTATCATCTCATTTTTTAGGGAGACACGACAATACGCCCAACATACTCATGCATAATCTCTATCAACCCCTCCTCCCATCTGTCCTTCCTGCTTCCTTCACCCCTGTAAACTTTAGACAACCGAGCCATCTTCAGCTGCAATGCCAAATGGCCTTTACCAAGGGCTTGGTGGTGTTTGCATGGCTGTGGGGGTTAGGCCCTTTCTGCAGGACAACAGGCATTTTCGCTGGGAAGTCAAATAATACATTCCACCCGGCAGCTGTAGGCCCCCTTAGCACCCACAGCCTGCAGCTGGGATGCTCCACTGACTCACACAGGCAGGTTGAAATGCAGCCTAGACCTATGGGAAAGGCTGCTGTGTTCTTGAGTACTTATCTTTTCATTTAGAAGGATTTGGAAGCAGACAAACTGTTACATTTCTGCCAGTTCTTTATAATCTTTCCAGCTCTTTCTCAATCACTCTCTTTTTTAAAGAAAAAAAAGTGCAAAAAATGCCAAAAAAAAAAAAAAATGAAGGATGGCTATTCTCCTGTGTTCTCTCGTTATAGATTTTGTGAGGTAGAAACATAATTTTTTCCTCCAAAGGTGAAAAGATAACATATTCTTGCTTTATAAAAACAAAACAAGGCTAAAATGTTACCTCTTTTTAAATTACGTGCAAAGTAATTCGGGCTAAATATAAAACACATTCAATGTTAAGGGTTTTATTTTGTATTGTGATGCTTTATTTGTACATTTTTTTTCCTTTCTGGGTGTAATTTTAATCTCTTGCCATTCATTAGTGTTATTTCATTGTAAACATTGTTGTGCCAAATGTACTGTATTCAAAAGGATGTGAATGTGTATTGTTTCGGAACCTAATAAATACAATGATGTTAAATCTTACTCCTCAGACCCTTCGTGAGTGGCACAGGGGTGACAGTCCAGCTTTTTGCCTTTTGTAAATTAGAGATTCCCTAATGCAAAACCTAGACGGGTTTCGCTTTTCCTTCTTTGCACGTGTACAGGGGCTGCTAGTTTGCGCTTTCCCCCAACCCCTGCTGCTCTCCTCTGTGCTTCTGGGGCCCTCCAAGAGGCTTCAGGGGCCCATGAGGACGGGGTGCGGCCCTGGTTGTGGTAGCGTGGAAGGATGGCATCCTGTCTCCTGCAGAGCCCTGGGAGATGGCATGGAAGCAAGCAGCCCTTGTGTTTTGGGCTCTAAAAAAAGAAAACGCAAAGTCTGCTCCTTGTAACAAAAGCCCACACAGGCCTCCCCGGGACTCAGTGTCTGGCTTGCTCCTCAGAATTCTGACGTTCGGGGCTCTCCTTGTAGGCTGAGATCTTGAGGTCTGAGCTGACAGGCAGACTTTTGGTGAGCTTGCATCTCCTTTCATTCTCAGCCCACATCTGTGACCTTACTGGTGACTCCCGGTCCCTGTGGATCCCTTGGCCACTTTGGGCTCCTTTTCTGCTATTCCGCTCAGGTGGCCCTGATGTTGTGGCGTGGCTCCTCATTCTCTTTCTCCCATACTGACTTCTCAAGAATTTTTTTTTTTTTCCTCTTTGGCAGTGCTGAGGATTGAAAGCTAGGCAAATGCTGTACCACTGAGCTACACTCCCAGCCTTCAGAAACATTTGAAATTCAAGAGTGCACTTTTGAGTACATCAGAAATTCTACAACTCTGTTCATATGAGTTGCATCCCCCCCCCACATTTTTTATTAGTGCATATTGGCTATACTGATTAAGGGGTTTCATGGCAGGCTTCACATGTCAGGGGGAGACTTCAATATGTATAATGATTTCTGAGTTGGTTTTACTGTTGGCATCCTAAGGGGGCGGATAGCCTGATATCCTTTCCCACTGACGTGATTTGCCTTGTTTTCCCTCTTGGGGCATGCTAGGCATACGCTCTGCCACTGAGCCCTTAACCCCCACCCCCAGTCACTTCCTTAAAGCGCTCCAAGGCCTTCGGTGTGTCATTCTGAAAGCCCTGCTTCTCAGTTTTCATCTCTCGGCCATATTGCCTGCCTACCTGGAGATACAAGTAGGGATCTCCAGACCTACCTGAAGAACGGCATGTTTACTGCATATTTTCCTCTCTGATTTAGCCAACTCTCTCTAAGCAACCAAGGTGAAGCAAACTTCCCACCACTTTGTGTGTCTTACCATGAACTTAAGCAAGTAGGAGGAACATGGGACCCCTAGAAGCAGAGAACGGTATGGTGGGAGGCAGTGGGAGCTATTGGTCAAGGAGTACATTCCTGTTGGGAAGTATAAGTTCTAGAGTATGAATAACATGGGGATTTGGTTAATAATGTATACTTGAAAAGTGCTAAGAGAAAAAATTATCATAAGCAAATGAGAATGTGAGGATGAATATATTATCTAGCTTGATTTAATCATTTTACAATGTATATGTATATCAAAACATCACACCAAGCACCATAAATATGTGCAGTTTTTATTTGCCAATATACTTAACAGCTGAAAAACTCAGGAAAAACAAGGAGCAGGTTCAGGCACTGCGAGTGCAGCTTAGTGGTAGAGTACTTGCTTAGCATGTGCAAGGCCCTGAGTTGAATCCCCTGCACACACACACACACACACACACACACACACACACACACACAAATAAAAAAGAGTAGAAAAGTCTGACTTTTATTTGAAATCCTTTAGCCTGACAGTGATATCACATAGACGGCTGCTAGTATTCAGCTATACCTGAAGGATGGTCAGCTGATCAAAGGCAGCACTGATTCAGAAAGCAGCTAGATCTGGGGCAGCTCCAGTTTGCCTCCCACAATACCTGGATGCTTTACTGTCAGCACTCAGGGCTAGAAAATGAGTCTCTGGGGGGGAAAAATGATGGTTTGTTAATCAGCATAATGAGTGCTAGGAAGGTGGGATTAGTGGTGTTTGAGGTAAGTAGATTGGCAAAAATATTTGAAGACAACTCACATATATAGGAAACTAGAGATCAGAAATGCACAGGTAAGTCAAACTGCAGTATTACTTCACATCCACTGGCTGACTAAATCAAAAAGGCCAGGGGCCAGGGATTTAGCTCACTGGTTCTGGCGCCTGTCTTGCTAGCACAAGGCGACGTAGGATATGAAACAGTGAGAACTTGTTGAGTTTCCGCTTTGAGTCTGAAGTGCTACAAATGCTCTGTAAAACTTGCCACAGCTGAACATGTACACCCTTGACTCAGCAGAAAAGGCCATCAACCGCAGAACAGGGCAGTGGTGGTGAACCTATGGCACAAGTGCCGCATGGGGCTGTTTGTGTCACTGAAACCTCGCCAAGGTTTGCCGGCGCTGGGATAAGAAAATGAACTGTGGAAATAATCACACAACGAAACACTGTACAGCCACAGGAAGGGATGATTTATGACTCAATGAAACAGCACAGATGGATCTCACACAGTAAGGCCAGGGGAAAAAAAGCCAGCCTGGGAGCAGCACATGCTGCGGGATTCCCTTTAGTAAAATACAAAGACAGTCATTGCTACTGGAAACCAGGACAGTGGTTACTCCCACAAGGAGAGGTGGTGGTGACTAGGAGGAGACAGAAGAGCTCCACAAAGCTAGTTCTGTTGTTTTCCCTGAACTGGGAGCTAGTGAACAGGTGGTTTCACTTTATCACAATTCACTGAATTTGTTCTTATAATCTGTACTTTTCCGTAGATGTGTCATTATTCTTCAGTAAAAAAGAATGTGCCCCCCACATCTGGCCTGACCTTGTGCTATGGCCTGAATGGGGTTCATCCCCTCTGAAACTCTCATTGAAATGGGTTTGCCATGGTGAGTGTTCCGAGGTGATCAGTTGTCAAGAAGGATGAGGGCCTCTCAAGTGGCCCTGAGTTAATGCAGGTGTGGATGGTTGTGCAGCAAGCCCAGCCCTCCCACTTTCTCTTTTGCTTGTTTAACCTTCCACCTTTTGCCAGTGACGGGCTTGCCAATGCTGCTGTTGTGCCGTGAACTCCCGACCTCCAGAAGGTGAGCAAAGCAAACTCCTTTCCGTTATGAGGTGGTCTTGGGTATTCTGTTACAGCAATAGAAAACGGACCAAGACAGCTTTCTCCTTAGGGATGGCACCTAGGCTGGACCTGTGCCTGTCTGTGTCCCTGTGCTGTCCCAAGGTATTGTGGCTGCCTAATTTCCATCCGCGGCCCACTCCTGTGGCTGGAACAGGGTTGTGTGTGCTTTGGTGGGCCCTTCCTCTGAGGCAGTGTCACAAAAAGCTGGGACTTCACAGAGCTTTCAAAATGGCCACAAGACCCCTCTGTGGTGAAATGCCTGTCTGAGAAGTGGTCAGGACTAGCTAAGCCCCTTCTGCCCATGATCCAGACCCACCAAAACCAAATGCCTGGGGCTCTGCAGCGCACACTAGGGAGTCTGCAGGCAGTGAGGCTTGGCTCCAGCTCTTTCACCTGGGGCCGATTACGGTACCTGTCTGAGCTGGTTTCGTTGTGTGTAATGGTGATAAGACCTACTACCTCAAAGCCTGTCATGAGACATCAGTGAGATAAAAAGGTCGCAGGCACAGTGACAGTTATCGCTATGATTCCCCGGTGCCGTGCCCCTCACTCCACCCACCCCATTCTTCTTCAGTGGGAGCCCTGAATTGTAGGAACATGTGTCTTGTTGTGATGTGGGCAGCTTATCTCCTCTCTCTGATCGCTTTCTTCCCATTCCTTGCCTGTCCCGCCCTTCAACTCTTCCAGCAGCACCATACACATACTACCCCCACTTCTCCAGCGAAGGACCCTCGCAGGGGCAGGAAGGGGGCACAAGCATCAAAGACAGATTTGCCCTTCGCAAATTTGCAACCATCGGGACAAGCCAAGTCTCAGGCAGTGAGGCAAACAAGAGACAAAGGGGCAGAGGAGGGGTTGGGTGTGCCTTCTCAAGGCAGGCTTCCTGGAGGAAGCAGTGGTGAAAGGGCACAGCAGGCAGAGGAGGGCGGGGACAGGCACAGGGCAGATGGCCCCTTGGCTTTGCACACCATGAAGGGCTGGAGCTTGGGGCCTGAGCTCCGGGGCAGGTCTGCAGCAGCTGTCACAGCCTTGCCCAGCGTGAGACTGTCAAGAGCCCAGGAATGATTGAAGACAGTTTGAGGACCTTTGTAGGTGGGGGAGCCTCTGGAGAGTCCGGCCCACCTCTTCGGTAAGGGCCCCTTGTCTCTGTGTGTCTGAGAGCTCATGTTCCATGGTCAGCTGTCCCTCAGCCGATGAGGGAAGTGCTGCCGGAGGGATGAGGTCAGAGCCAGCCCCATTCTGGGTCCACCTTCCTGCTTTCTTCTTGGGCCTCTGCACTAGGTTCACCGCCTAGCAGTATTGCTCTGAGAAGCTCAGAGACGCTGGTTTCCTGGGCACCAAGGCAGAATTTCCCCATCCGTGCTTCCTTCTTTAAGTCATTAATAACCAAGTTTATTGTCTTCTGTGTGAAAGACACGGTACTGTCTTCCCATAAAGCAACCTCACAAAAATCACAAGAAACAGAAATTCCAATTATGCCTATTTTATAGATGAGGAGACTGAAGCTCCGAAATTGTTTAGCACCCACAATTCCATAGGACTATTGTATTTATATGTCCATTCTATGGATAAGAAAATTTTTAAATTGTCCAAATTTTCAAACCCACATCAGGCTGATCTCAAAGACCATACAAAACCTATTTACACACAGAACCATTCAGTCTTCATCATTCATTTGGTCACTTGTTCCCCAAATTCTCATGGAGTTGCTACCGGGTGCCAACCATTCATCTAGACAACAGTGAACAAAAGAAACCAAAGTCCCTGTAGGTACATAATGTGCATGGAGTGGGGTGTGGACAGACAGCATAAGCATTA